GAGGGCATGTTGCGCTTGAGTGAGTGCCCCGCCCACTGCATCCCTCCTGGCCCCGCCCCACAAGGCCACGCCTACCTGGCTCTCCCCCTCCCCCAAAGTCCTGCTGGGTATCAGCTTGGGATACGGTGAATAAGGGGGCAGGATCCCTGTCCTTGGGGATCTTATTCTCTAATAGCCGAGACTAACAATGAACACGTAAAGCAAGACAATTTCTTATTGTCTTAATAATAATTAAGCTCCTATAATAATAATAGACTACACTTATATAGCACTGAGCACTTTATACTGACTCATTTAATCCTCATAACAACCCTATAAAATCAGTACTCTTATCATCTCCATTTTACAAATGAACCGAGGCACAGAGAGTTTAAGACACCTGCCCAAGGTCACACAGCCTGGTGGGATTAAAAGTGGTAAGGAGAATAGAAAACAGCAAGTTGTGTTGGAGAATGACTAAGGGGTTGGGGGACAGGGGCTAGTTTAGATTGACTTATAGTCAGGTTCAAATCCTGCCTCGAGCTCTTACTAGCTGCATGACCTTGGGCAATTTGCTTAAACCCTCTGTGGCTCAGTTTCCTCATCTGTAAAATAAGGATAAAAATAAAACATCTTCTAAGGTTATGTAAAGGTTCAGTTTATATTTGTAAATTGCTTAGCATGGTGCCTGACACTGAGTAAGTACTCAATGATAATATTATTAGCTTATATAGAGCGGAGCCCTGGTGGGGCAATGGTTAAGAGCTGTGATTGCTAACCAAAAGATAGGCAGTTTGAATCCACCGGCCGCTCCTTAGAAACCCTATGGGGCAGTTCTACTCTGTCCTGTCGGGTCGCTATGAGTCAGAATCTACTCGATGGCAACGGATTTGGTTGGTTTTTATATAGAGCAGGGGTTGGCAAACTATAGCCCTTTGGCCAAATTTGGCCCAACACTCATTTTTGTGAATAAAGTTTTTTTTGTTTTTTGTTTTAAAATAACTTATAGAAGTGGAATTCACATAACATAAAATTAAGCATTTTAAAGAGAATAATTCAGTATATTCACAATGTTGTGCAACCACCACCTCTATCTAGTTCCAGAACATTTCCATCACTCCAAAGTGAAACCCCTTTCCCATTTGTAAATAAAGTTTTATTGGCACACAGACATGCTCACTCATTTATGTATTGTCCTTGGCTGTTTTTATGCTGCTATGACAGCACTGAGTAGTTGTGACAGAGACTGTATGGCCTGCAAAACTGAAAATTCTTAGTATCTGGCCCTATACAGAGAAAGTTTGCTGACCTCTGATCTAGAGCTTATCCAGTACTGTTCTAAATTCCTTCTGTGTATTGATTAATTTAATCTTTACAAATCTACCAGGTAGATGCTACTGTTATCCTGTTTTAGAAATGAGACAAAATGTTTAGGTGACCTACCCAAGGTCACACAGCTAGTAACTGTCTGAGCTGAGAAGGGTTAGTTTTACTGTTATTATTTTTACACCACCACTATCAGATGAGAAGTAGAATTATTAGTCATTAAGAGCATTGGCTCCTGGGATGAACAGGCCTTGATTTCAAGCTCTGCCTTTCCTACTTCCTAGCTGTGTGACCTTGAGCAAGTCAGTTAAACTCTCAGGCTCCATCTGTAAAATGGAGTCCATAATATGACATAGAATTATGTTTGTGAGGGTTAAGCAAGGCCAGGAATATAGCATGGAGCCGGGCATAGAGTAAGTTCTGAAGAACATACCATATTTTACACAAATAACGTGCCCATGTAAGTAACGTGCGCACACATTTAACACACGGCATAGTTTGCTTACAAAAATGGCGATGGGGCATTGCGCAGTTGGCAAAAACATGTAACGTGTACATTATTTGCGTAAAATATGGTATTGCCTCTTATTTTTATTAGCTGTATTTTTAACAGATAGGAAACTTGATGCTGGAAGTGTTGTTTGCCCAAGCTCAGGTACGTGGTGGAGGTGAGACTTGAACCAGGCCTGATTCCGGAAGTTGCTGACACCCCAGAGCTCTGACATTTATAGACAGTCGTCCCCCACCCGACTGTACCCTGCCCAGCCCATGCTAGTCAACCCAGATGCTCTTCCTTCTTGTTGCCTGGTGGGCAGTGTGGAGGGTCCAGCCTGGGCATGGCGGAGGGGCCAGCCTGGTTTGAAGTGCCCAGCACCCATGCCTCGCATCCTTTCCCCAGAGAATGGGAACCGCTACGAGGGCTACTGGCAGAGAGGCATGAAGAACGGGCCAGGGCGTTTCTTCCACCTGGACCACGGTCAGCTGTTTGAAGGCTTCTGGGTGGACAGTGTGGCCAAGTGTGGCACCATGATCGACTTTGGCCGTGACGAGGCCCCTGAACCCACTCAGTTCCCCATTCCTCAGGTGGGCAGCCCTCCTCCTGCCCTCACCAGGGCCCTGCAGCCACACCCAGAGAGACAGACACCAGCACCCTCAGCCCACCCTGCCCCGCCAGGGCACAGACAAGCAAGCTGTGTGCTCAGCCTGGGCATCCCCAGCGAGGCTGGCAGTCTTGGGCTTCCGTGGCCCCCAAATCCACCCTTGCTGCTTCCCTCCAGGTCAAAATCCTAGACCCCGATGGCGTGCTGGAGGAAGCCTTGGCCATGTTCAAGAAGACTGAGGAGGAAGGAGGAGATTGATGCCAAGTGAGGACGGGCACCCTGCCACCCTCTGGCATGGCCGAGGCAGCACCATGGCCCAGAACAAGGCCCAGAGAGGGTGGCTTCTTGCCTTCTGGAGTCCAGCTGGTCCCTTGTGGTCCCTCCCCTTCAAATCCCATTTCATAGAAGACCAGTTCGTTCCAATCCTGCCCCAAGCCTCCCATTTGCACCCTGGGCTTGCTGGGATGAGCACTGGATTAGGAGTCTGGGGGCTGGTTTGCCCCCAAATGCCCTGGGCCACTCCTAGCCTCCCCGGGGGTGGCAGTAAGTGAGAGTGTGAGGAGCAGGCATTGGCACAGTGCCTTGCAAATGCCAGCTTTTCACTGTCGCCCGCCCCCTGCAGAGAGAATACTGAAGCTCGGCCCTTTGGGAGGAATCCAAGCACACATCACCAAACTGCTCAGACCAGTGCAGCTCACCTGGGAGGAGTGAGAGGTGGTTCCAGACACACCTTTGGCACCCTCAGAGGACGTCACTCCTCCCAGGACTGGATCCTTCTTTGCCCATGGAGGGACAGGACTTCCCTCAGTGGCCTGGTTGCGGGGACCCTCCCTCTCCTCACTGCCTTCCTCCCTACACCCTTCTTGAGTGCATGAGAATAAAGGAGAGCATGACAGCGTGAGCCCGGGCTGTCGGCTGCGGGGTGAGGCAGGGAGTGGGGCACCCTGGGAGGGTCCCGAGTGGAGAAGAGGAAGTTCCCATGGCGGCCATGGATTTACCTGGGGAGAAAGGGCAGCGTTTCCAGGTCTCTGACCACTGAGTACCCAAGAGAGGAGACAGAGTCTGCGCCCGGTCAGAGGAGCTTGGTCAACAAGATCTTAGATTAAAACCTGACCTGGATCCGCAGTTTAACACAGGGGCTCACAACCGGGGAATCACGTGGGAGCCTTCAGATACAGATGCCCAGATTCCACGCCCTGCGATGCTGATTTAATTCATCTGGGGTGATGTCTGGGCTTTGTAACAAGTTCTCCAGGTGATTGTAATGTGGAGCCAGGGCTGAGAGCCCGACTTACTGTGGGACCCTAAGCACACGACCTCAGTTGCTCCATCTGTAAAATGGGCCTCATGAGACCTCACGGGTGTTTTGAGGATTTGATGAGAACCGATGTTATAATGCTGGATAACATGTATTGAGGTTAATTGTGGGCCAGATACCAGGGAAGAGCTTTGATAATTCTAATCCAGACAGCATTCCTGCGAGCTAGTGGTAAGAGCATGCGCTCTGGAGTCAGACTGGGTATGAATCCCGGAGGTGGGGTATCAGCTATGTCCTTGGGAACGTCAACCTCCCTGTTCTCTAGGTTTCCTCCCGTGACACAGGGCCAATAGCGGTACCTACCAGCCAGTGTTATCGTGAAGATGAAGTAAGGCGGCGGTTCTCAACCAGGGCGATTTTGCCCCTCTTCCGGTGAAACTGACAATGTCTGGAGACGTTTCTGGATGCCGCTCCTCAGAAGTGCTACTAGCATCTAGTGGGTAGAGGCCAGGCCTTCTGCTAACGTCCTACAAAGCACAGAATAGCCCTCCAATACAAAGAATGAGCCGGCCCAAAATGTCAACAGTGCTGAGCGTAAGAAACTCGGAAACACAGGGAGGCTTGTAAAGCCCTCAGCACGTATCCGCACATCACGAAGACTCAGTAACTGCTGACACTGAGGTTCTCTCTACGCACTAAATTGTGAGCCGGGTGGCCTGACCCAGGGCCTGGTTCTCAGGAAGCTGAGCCTGGCCACCCTGGGATATAGAAGTAAGTTAACTGCCAGGCACTGTGCTGACAGCTTTGCATGTCTCCTCTGCTGTGACCTCCTCTCCCACCCCAACCTGTAGGTGTCCTGCTATTAGCACCATTTTAGAAAAGGAAACTGAGGGTCAAGGAGTTCACAAGTCACCAAGCTAGAGAGTGCCTGCACTCATATTTAGATCTGCTCTTAAGGTGCAGATCAGTGTGCATAGAAGACTACTATGTAGAAAGTGTGTTGTGTGTGGGGTGCACTTGTTGATGTATAGTCTCTCTAGAAGGGGATCACAGTAAACTAGTAACCATGGTTGACTCTGGGGAGGGGGAGGACTTTTCGCTGTTGTATTTGGAACTGTGTGAATGTATTGTCTACCCAAAATAGAAATAAAACTGAAATTAAAGAGACTGTGTTCTTAACCACCGTTTCCCAAGTTGCTGGGTGTGAGAGTACTGAGGGTGCTTGTTAAAAATACAGACACACCCAGACCAACTGCAATCAATCTCCGGGGAAGGGCTTGGAAATCTGCATCTTCACAATCTAAGCTGGTGACTGAGTTCAGGCCAATTTAGGAGAGAACTTAAGACTTCCATGCCGGAGTCCAGGAATGACTCCACCGGATCGCAGGCCTCTGTGCAAATAGGGAGGCGGACACCTCAGGGAACATGTGAAAGATGTCCGGGCCCTCTTTGGGGAGCAGTGGGGGGCTTTGTGTTGGGGGTCTCTGCCTGGTCCTACCCAGCCCTTCCACCCCAAAGGGCATCTGGGGCCAGGTGGGTCCCAGTGTGTGTGATGCAGGGTGGGAAGAAGTGGCAGGGAAGGGCAGGGCCCTCCCCACCCAGCCCACAAAGCTGCTATTCAGTGCCCAAGTCAGCACAGAAGGACAAGAGCTTAAGGCCACACTTTCCAAACAGTTTGAGACTTGGGGTTCTGTGGAAGCATCTCGGGGAACAATAATGGGAGGGACACAAATGTCAGGCCTGTCCAGGCCCCAATCTTCATTTCAGCCATAGCACTTGGCTTTTAAAAAGCCACTTTTATATGGAGCAGGCAGAGGTCTCAAATGCAAGGGCCTCTGGGGGCTGGGCACGAAATGTTAGTGAAGTTGGCCTCGTCTGAGATAGGAGGGAGTGGTGGGGACTGTGGCAAATGTGGAAGGCAGTGGCTGTTGCTCAGTTCCTGTTTATTTTCACTATGAAAGAAGGTGGGTGCAGGGCTGCTGGATCCCAGTTTTTCTAGCAAATCCAGAATCAGCCCAGGTTTAAGATTTTTGGGAGGTCTCTAAGTCAGACGTCCCAGGTTTGAATCCTGGCAAGTTATTTACCCTCTTTAGGCATCAGTTGTGCCATCTGTAAAATGAGGATAACAGTACCCACCTCACAGGGATGCTGATGCATAGTGCTTAGAACAGTATCTGCATATACTACTGGCTATTACTTTGCTATTGTTTTGAGAAGATCTGGACACAGAGTCACTTACGTAATATTCCTGTCAAAATGCATAACCTGAACGCAATAAAAACAAACCAAACAGAGGGGGTCTACAGAGCTACTGGCCTTGACTCTTCAAAAAGGTTAACATCATGAACGACAGAAGCTAAGGAACTTTCCGGACAATGTAACGCACGATCTTGGGTTGGAAAGAACATTATTTGGACAAGTGGGAAATCTGAACATGGATATTATATAATAGTATTCCATCCATGCCAAATTTACAGAATTTGATAATGGAACTGTGGTTATGTAGAAGAATGTCCACGTTTTTAAAAGGAAGCATTTAGGCATGAAAAGGAGCCCTGGTGGCGCAGTGGTTACGCACTCGGCTGCTAACCGAAAGGGTGGCAGTTTGAACCCACCAGCCACTCCATGGGAGAAAGATGTAGCAGTGTGCTCCCATAAAGATTACAGCCTTGGAAACCCTATGGGGCAGTTCTACTCTGTCCTACAGAGTTGCTATGAGTCGGAATCGACTCGACGGCAACCGGTTTGGTTTTGGGTTTTTATTTAGCCATGAAAGATTGTGCTATCTGCAACTAAAACATACGGTTCAGGGGAATTATATATTTCTGTAACTATTCTTGTGACTTTTTGGTAGGTTTAAAATTTCTCAAATCGCTGAAAGAAATGAAAAACTTTGCTTAGGGGCTCAGCTGATTAGGGCAGTGGCAGGAGGGAGAAATAACATGGGACAGCCTGGACCCAATGATACAGACACAAGGAGAAGCTGTCCCATAAGAGTATATTTCTGTGTCCACACACACACAGACACACAGACACACACACACACTCTCGACGCCAAACGGGGTGGGAGGTCGAGATGGAAAGGACAGGAAGCATCCAGGTGGCCCTGGCATGGGATAGGAGGACGGACAAAGGGAGCATCTGTCCCCGCTCCGGCCCCCACCACCTCCCAGCAGGTGAACCTGGGTCTGGAAAAACAGGAAGTGCTTATACTCTTAGAGGAAAGTTTCAAAGTACAGTCATTTCTCTTAAAAAACCCTCTTCCCTCTACTCTCTGCCGGAAGCCCAGCCTCCTGTTCAGGCTGTCCTTGAGGCTGGGGCAAGACAAGGCCTTGGGAAGAGGCATTAAGGCTAAAGCTCGGGAAAACCCAGGCCCACAGGGGCTCAGGCATAGTGGCTGCCGGGCGTCAGTGGGTGGTCCCCTCTGTGGTCCAGCTGGTCCTGCAGGCGAGCAAACTCAGCCAGCTCATTGAGCTCCTGGAACTGTCGGTCTGTCTTGTGGCTGACCAGTGAGCGGTAAAAGTGGACGGCGAAGACAATAAAGACCAGGCCGAAGGGGACCATAATGGTGGTGGAGGCAATGGCGGCTGCCTGGCCCGGAGTGATGCCCTCGGGGCTGCTGCCGCTGACATTGAGGGCTCCGCCGCCGTCCGAGGGCTTGCTGGTGGGCTGTGGCTGGCCCGGCTGCTTCTTGAGGGGCAGGAACTTGACCCAGCAGAGCAGCACCACCTCGGCCAGGAAGAGCAGTGTGCCAATGACCGTGGAGAAGGCCCAGGCCAGCTCGATGTGGCGGTGCATGCGCTCGTGGGGCGACTCCTTGACAGAGTTGAGGTTATGGACGTTGCTCACGGCCTCGATGTTGGGCAGGATGCAGGTGCTGATCATGAGCGCAAACAGGTGCACGGCCACCAGCACTGTGGTGCAGGCGCTGAAGGCGATAAGCAGCCCTGGTGGGTAGTCGTGGTCAGCGTCCAACTGCACCTCCACCATCGCCACCTGCAGGGGTGAGGACAGGCGGGGTGAGTGCCAGATCAGGGCCATGGCCCATCGGGAAGGAGTGATGGGCCCAGCTCAAACCCTGGCTTTGCTCCCATCAATCTCTGGGACCCTGCGCAAGTCACTTGCCTGCACAGAGCCTCAGTTTCTCCATCTGTATAATGGGGACAATAGGACCTACCTCCTTGGGAAGTGGCAGAAAGAACTCATGAAGAAAGCGGGCTACCTGGATTTGAATCCCAGCTCTGCCACTCACTAGCTGTGTGTCCTTGGGGAAAGAATTAACCTCTCTGAGCCTCCATTTTCCTACCTGTGAAATGCAGATATAGTATCAGTTCACAGGACTATTTTAACAATTAAATAAGAGCTCCTAGCACACAGTAAAATCTCCCAGATGGAAACCACTCCGACTGTCACCCGGCCAGGGATTAAAAACCAGCCATGGCACCTGTTGGCCCTGCGCGCCCCACCAAGCAGAGGCTTCTCCTTTACGCCTGCTCTGGGGACAAGGACAGGAGTAGGGGCTGGAGAGGTGAAGGCCCCAGGCCTTTCCTGAGAACACAGTGCACAGATGGACAAAGAACTTAAAGAAGCTTCCCAGAAGAGATGGCTGAGGGCTGGGGCCAGCAAGCCCTGAGGCTGTCTCCTCCCAGCCCCAGCTCTGGGCTCCAGGCTCCAGGGCTGACTCACTAGCTGCTCCTTAGTTCCTGGAGACTTGCGGATCCTGGGTCACCAAGGGCACCTCCAGGCCAACCACCTGGTGCTTCTCACCTGGGCCTCACAAATCACCCCCATG